TGACAAAATGCACTCGCTTTGCGAACACACACACACACAGACAGCCTCTCGACAATGTGCGTTTTTTCGCTGCTATAGCGCTGCACAGCAAAAACGCATAAAAAATCAAAATATCTGCAGATAGCGGCTGTGAAACATAAAGCTGTAACAACTCTTCAGTGGAGAAATATAATTCTACAACTGATGCTTTTTGCCAAGTAAGATCATCGAGTCACTCGGCATGAGAAGCCAATGTTGGTGGTACTACAAATCGGGCTTAGTTACATCAGGCAGGACCTGTGTCTCGTAAGCTCTATTTCTCAGGCTAATATCTATCATTTGTCACGCTTCCTATGAAGTCGTAGACACCCTTGCCAGATTTATAACGCCGAGTCCTTCCTTTTCTTCTTTATGAATATGCAAGCACTACTATCACAATGAAATCACTGTCAACTGATGTAGCCACTTTTTCTCGCCATCACTGTCAAAGCTAGCCGTAACTTTTACCTCCGGTCTTACCACCCTCTAACACAATAAATAAAACAGAAGTAAATAAAAACGTTTAAAAATGTCTGGAGAATTACCTGCATGTTGATGTTATCACCGCCTGCTATTTGTCCTGTTAGAGCCCATTTACCCTTCCCTGTTAGTACATGCTGTGCATGCCCAGTCAGTGCCACCTTAAACATCATTTTATAGCCTGCGCAAATTGATGGTTCATTTTTAGGCCTCTTTAATGCATATTGAAAGGGGCTCGAATGAGCCTACCTTGATTATTCAACCCCTTCATCTGACGTATTAAAAATTGGGATAATGAGAGTTAGGCTCAAGCCGTGCGTTGCCTTTAAATAGCTGTGGTCAATTTTTATTACTTCCTGACGCATGGACTAGTTTTAATTTTTGCTTCCAGAAATGGACTACGGAACGTTAAATTATGCATCAAGCTTAAAGCTGAGCAAAATAATCACGCTCGAGTTGGCCTTTCTGATTGTCATTGTTATCTAATTTGAGTAACAGAAAACTACGAAATGAAGGAACAAATAAAAACAAGCTGAGGAATTTTTTGATGCTAAATTCGTTTTGGGTTATGAAGAAATAGAAATCATTAATATTCCTACTGCCATTTTCTCGTTGAAGGCAGCCAAGAGAGAAGAGAAAGCAGCGTGGCAACAACAAAAACAATAAGTTCTAAAAACCGCTCGGTAAACTGACCTTTTGTCTACCGACAGCGTCGTGCTTCCTGTGCTGATCGAATGGTCTAGTGACGTGTAGACAGGACATTGTGTAACGCATTCGCAGCTCCTTCATATTAGCATTGCATCAAAATTATATTACGTTTTACTCATGTTATTTAGAACAGTTTTATTAAAAACATCACCAATAAATCCCTAATTTCAGCTGCCGTAATCAACTTTGAAGCAAAACCCACTTCATGGCATACACTTGCATTCAGGGCAATTGCCCGGAGATGCTCGTCGACGGCCTGAATGAGCTGCGCCCATTTTAGTTCCTGGCAACGACTTTTCTCCATCAGGAATCAGAAGGAGCCGCGATACAGCAATGACCGTTGCGTAAAAGTGAATTCGAAATAAGGGGGCAAAACCTTTTATAGGATGTTCAATGTGCTTGCAGATGCCACATGTCATTTCGACGAGTGCTTGAGAAAATGCAGGCACAAATTCCGCGCATTCGAAAGTTCACAGGTTGTGCTGGAAGAACCAGAAAAACTGGATCATCATTTTTATGAGTTTTTGCATATATGCAAATTGCAAAAATGCGTATTGGGAAAAGGCTGTGTGTATGTGTGTCTGTGTGTTCACTCTTTTTGTCAGCCACTTTAAACTCGAGAACCAGAAAAGTTATGAGGCTGAAACTTTGGGAGTATATGCCCATACCATGCGTGACTCTCCTGCTTTGATTTCATCCCCCGCGGACGCCTGGGTGCTGCGTACAGCCGCATTAAAAAAATCTGAAAATTTTTTGGCGGGTAAGCGATCTCTGGAACCGCACGAGCTAAGGGACTGAAACTTTGTAGGGGTATTTCCTGTGCATGTGCTAGCTCACTTAAGGGCGTATGAAAGTTTTAGCGGGAAAATTACTAACTCGGAAACCAGAAAAGCTAGAAAACTGGAATTTTCACCCGTCCACGTGAAATTTAATGATTTCAAATTCAGCTTCCCACGCAAGTGGGTACCAGCGTAAGGGCATGTGAAAATTTTCGCGGAAAAACCATTAACTCGGGGAACAGAAAAGCTAGAAAGTTGAAATTTTAGGGGAATGTTCCCTGTCCAAGTGCAACTTAAATATTCCGAATTCAACCTTCAGGAATGAGTGGTTCTCACGTATAGGCAACTGAAAGTTGGCGGGAAAACTGCTCTCTGAACAGCTAAGTTGCCTTCACAGAACGATCGTTAAACAGAAATTGTTTATTTGCTTTATGCAAAATTTATGGTGAATTATATCATGTGTAAAGCAACAAAGGCTGGAACGCACCAGGCGAGCCGGTGCGATCATGCGTTTTTGCATCAAAACTAA